AATTAATTAAAAAAATTAAAAAATGCACCAAAAAGTGGCACTACCTACACAATCTAAATAGAAGACAAGAATTCACTCTTAACATAGTGAGAATTCAACATTCCTTTTGGACTCATTAGTTCCTAATCAGCAAAGATCCACCACCAATATATAACAAATACCAAGAAGACCTAACTATCCAACACGTCATCTTAGACTGCCCTGATCTTCAAAATACTCGAAACTCCCAATCAATACCAAACATCTTAGGAGAAGCTCTCCACGAAGACAACAGCAAAAAATTCTAAAATTCCTCACGAAAATCAACATTAAAAACAATCTTCAATTAACATGTATCCAAATTTAAAGCTATTATAATCTTCGATCTTTAATATTAATGTAATTCACGCCATGTAACATGAACACAAGGCTAATAACCTCAGACGTTGAAGCCTGTCTGTCTTTTAAATAAAAAAAATATATATATATATATACGATCCAGTATTTTCTACTAATCATCGAATCTTAAGTTTTATTTTTATCATCTTGAGCCATAAATAATACAATTATCGATTTCTAACTCTTTAGTGTTAGACAACTTTTTTAGCTTCGTGCAAAGCTGAGAAGGTATTAATTTTACCATGATGTGTTTTTTTTTTTTTTGTGTCTGTTACCACTTTTTCTCAGCCCTCAACGAACCGATTTTTTTCAACAATACGTCAAAAGATCACAAATCGTATCTAGTTGAATACATTACCCTTAAAAATTGAAAATTTTGCCCTCGTTCCCCGCAAATAGAGGAAATCTCCAAAAAAAAACAAATTTAAAAATCGATATTTTGTAATTTTTTTCACTTTTTTTTTCTTAAAACTTCCATAACTTTTTCAAAAATAAACAAATCAACATAATTTTTTTTTATACTAAAACCTTAGATATTTCCCTTTCTATGATATAATTTTTTTTGAAAATCTAACACTTATTCTGCTCACAGAGAGGGATTCAAAATAGTAACTTATACTGTATGTATGTGTTTAGCGTTGATAATGGTAACATTGTTTCCGAAATACGTATCCGCGACTTTTCATTAATTTTTTTGTGGCTTTGAGTTTAATATTTTTAATATTTTTTAGTTTTTTAAATTAATAATATTTTTAATATAGTTTTAATTTTACTTAATTTTTGAAATTATTCAGGAAATACTGCGTCCTTTAAGCATATATCAAATTAAAGTTAATGTTATATACTATTAAATGAAAAAAAAAAAATTTGACCCGACACCTTATTTTCTATGCGCAAATAGCTACCGTATTCAAAAATATGCTATTTTTGTGTTAAAATCCTGGGTTTTGTATTTTATTTTATTTTAAAGTACCTTATAAAGACAATACACTGACTTTCATGAATATTTTATAATTTAATTGACATAGAATAAAGTTCATAAGACAAAAGAAATTAAACTTATTAATTTTTTTTGCTTTTTTAAAGTCAAAAAAGTAATTTTTTAATTTGAGTTAGCTTAAAAAGCCAATTTTATCAAGCGGTGAAAGCAACGAACAGTTGCCGAGTCGGTAACACTTGTGTCTTTCACGCATAGGGTACGAGGTTCAAATCCATCTATGACTAATTAATATTTTGCATTTTTTTTTTGAGTTAGCTTTGAGTTAAAAAGTAGCTTGACCAGCTTTTTCCATACAAACAATTAAATACATTAATTTCTATTATTCTTAAAATATTCATTGTGTAATAAACCAAAAAGAAAAGAAAAGAAAAAAAGTAGAATTTAAAAGAAAATTGTTAGAATTATATGGTGAGATGAAGGTGATGAAATAGGCGGTAGGTATTGGGGACTAATGGTAATAAAAATTATTAAATATGATGGTAAATGGCGGAGTAACACATGTTTAAATGTGGCAAGATATTTAAGGGTGCAAAGAATATAATAATATGAATAAAGAAGAATTCAGAGGGGTGAATAAACGGAGTTTAAATACATGAGGGTAATGATCAAATAAATAAAAATGCACACAAACGTTGTGACAAAAATAATGAACTGATCTCGGGGTTGAACAATATTGAATAAATGAAGTCAATTATCCTACAAAACTTTATTACCTATCTTAATGGTTTATTACGCAATAGAGTATTTATAATTTGAAAGCGGGAATTTAAATTTGTACTTACCTTGTATCCCACGTAGTGTGATGCTTATTTTAGACAATCCAATGTTGATTATGAGTTCACACTGTATTTTACACGTTGTACACTTTGAGTTCGACAGTAAATATGACCGTTTGAGAATAAAGCGTTTAATTATAAATAATGCGAAACCGTTACACAAAATCTATGACTGTATTATTATATGCAAGAGATTCTATACACTCTATATTTTTATAATTATAATCAAATAATGTATCTTTAGTTGACTTTGTAGAATGAGTATATTGTTTGAGAGATTATATTTTATTGAGAGATCGACACCAATATTTCTTAAATTTTCCTCTGGCCTGGCCAAAACAAGATTCAGAAATATTTATATCTATGTAAAAGATTTGTCAGGGCGGAATTGTGGTGGCCCAATGTGTCCCGGTGCTAAATTAAAGCACCTTGAAAGGATGCGGCACAATAATCACCAAGACAAAAATTAAACACTAAAAACATATATTTGTAAGTTTCTCTGTGCTGTCTGCCGGCGCGATGTTCGTTAAAACAAAGACATTAAACCACAGAAGATTAGCTACCCAATACACATAGGCTTACAAATATATTCTAACCTAACACACAACTTTAAAAATATTTAATTGCAACCTTTACTCTGTCTGCCGGCGCGATGTTCGTTAGAACAAAGACATTAAACCACAGAAGATTAGCTACCCAATAAGTATAGAGTTGCAATACACTTAGTCATATAATCAATATTTATCATTAACTGAGAAAATTAGAGTTGATTCGGTTTTATTATATAAAAAAAAAATTTTTTGTTTTAAAATATTAGTTGACATTTATTTCCATAATAAAATAAAACATTATTATTTAATGAACAAATTAAATTAAATTAAAAGATTCACCAAAACAAAATTCACTTTAAAATCTCTAAGTGTCATTTAGTTTTAAAGAAAAATATTCTAAGTCCAAATAAATTAAAAAATAAACTAAGTCCCAGAGAGTAAGAATCTTGAATAGAGTGTCGCAGATTTTGTGTATGTTAAAATCGCCGAAAGAACTGATTTTAATAGGAAAAAATGGGTTTTTATAGTAGACGAGGGTCCTGTAGCGATCCCTAGTGTGATCTTAGAAACTGTAGATCTTAATTAATAGTTAAATGTGATTGGCTGGAGCTAATTAAAAACCCACACATGGCGTGACTTTGAATCTGTACGTTAATGAGATTTAATTGCCTAATTTATTGATTATTTTAAGTTTTAAATAAGGGAACTCTGTTTTGGTGATCTTGTAAATTCATAATATATGACATACATGTACAAAAGATAACATAATATAATATTTTAATATTATAAGTAATAATATAATATTACAATTGTCGAATTAGATTTGATATGATAAAAGTATTCAACTACAAATGTAATTTACGATAAAAATATAAAAAAATCAAACTTTTCTGATAAATGTACTGTAAATAGTAATTATAAAATTCCCTGAATGCATATTAATCTTAACAATTTCATTTTTTTCTATTTAATAATGTCAATTTCAAACTTGCCAATTAAGCTACATGTTATGGTAATAAATACATTTTTTTTTAAATAAAACTTTCACTTTAAAGGACAATAAAAAGTAGGTTCAAAATGATTAATTTTAACATAATAAAAATCAAAATCAATAATAATTTGAAAACAATTAATTTTAAAAATTATATAATATATAATTAAAAGAATTACTAATCTGGGTATAATTAAGGAAATAGAAGTTGATGTTGCTTTTGTAATTATCCATCAATTTTTAAAAATTAAACACTATCTACAGATTTGCATCGAAGCGTTTCTTATGATAGTGATTTTAATCACTGTCAGATTAAATCTATACTGGACCCAACTATGCCACGTCTCCACTATGCCACGATCCCACTGTGCTGGGTTTTTATTATATTACATTATTTTTTAGTTCAAAATTAATAAGTTTAATATTCATATATATCTGTTCTGTTTTTAATCATTTACTAACAATAAAGATTAAGTATATTATTAGATAATTAACTACTGTGCAATTCAATTTTTAATTTACTTAAAATTTTTTTTGGCATTTTGGAAAATGACCTAGTGATACAAACAACAATAAACAACTAAATTAAATAGAATTAATCTCTAAATATTCTGAAAATTAAATATATTTTTTTAAATAATTAAAAAGGAAACAGAAAGAATAGAGAGACAGAGAAAAAAAGGAAGACTTATATAAAAAAATATTATTATGCCTAATACTTTTATAATTAGAGAATACGATTAATGTATTTGGGTATCCACCGACCTTCAAACACAGTATTACTGATAAAGCACGGCGGTTATATGCTCCAAAATTGGCTCAACCAAAGTAAAATATTAACACAATATACAAATAAACAAAAATAAGAGCGAACTTTTTGTCGTATTACAAATATTTTTAGGAAAAATTAATTATTTTATAATAACATATTTGCAATATATTATTGAGTCTTGAATAATTGTCAATTCTTACAAGGCAAATCATTAAAACCTAAATACTCATAATCATTTTTCACAACCTTTAGAACAAATGATTCCAAATAATCACACATATCATGATGAATAATACTATATTCTGTTAAGGTATTGGTTTGAATCAATTGTAGAAATGTTGTAATTATGTCTGTTTCACATTTTATAATTTTGCAATATTTCATGTTATATTGATTTACGTCATAAAATTTTCTCTGTAAAGCAAAAGTATGAACGTGTTCTAGGTGTTCAAGGAATGATTGAGCATCATAAAGTCCATCATTAGTAAATATCAATGAGGAAAAATACTTTTTTCCAACATCATTCAAAAAATCAATAAAAAATTCTAACAGTTTNATCATTCAAAAAATCAATAAAAAATTCTAACAGTTTCTCTATGAGTACTTCTTGATGTCGATAATTTTTATTCTTTTTGTAGTATCTTAAAGTAGTCAGAGCAGTTAACATTTTTTTAAACATATCATCGGATGTCATTAGTGTTTTATAAAGCTTAACCGCACAATTAATTTTATTTTCATATTTACAAACATTAATTATTTGTCCCAACATTACATTAAAATTACGAAGTATTTCAATATAGCGACATCTTAAAATAAGTGAAAGACATGACCGCACAAAATAATAATTTATCGTATCAACTGTTTCTGTGATGTCTTTAAAATATACTAAATTTTCATTTGTAAAATCAGTTTTAACAGCTATATGTTTTAATGATTTCCAACCGTTGCAAGAAAGAAAATGATTACACAATGCAATGCCATCATAAAGGCCATATATTTTATATTTGGAATGAATATACCTGTATGGAAAAAAAATCTATGAACCCTCCAAATTAATATCTTAATAATGATAATATTTAAATAGCAAAATAAAATTCTTAAATTTTATTATGTAAACATACTAAACTATAAATCTTACTTGAATGTATTTGTTCCGTCTAGTTGTTCAAATCCTAGTTTTGAAATACAATTTTCAATTATTCTGGATTTATATAATTCAAGATCTTTATGAATATCATTAATATAATCGTCTGAGTCCTCTATTAGTTTTTCCATTTGATCGATGTTATATTTTATCAATAAATTGGTTGAAATAGAACTTTTATATTCTGTCCCACAAACTTTTTTATTTTTATAAAGATTTGATAACATTAATTTAGTTTTATTATAAAAACATTTTATATTTTCATAACTAGTGACAACAGTATTATATATCATAAATTTCGGGGGATATTTTAAATCCCTTGCGTATTCATAAAAATAATTTATTTCATAATCTACAGTTTTAATATTAAAAGTTGTAGAGTCTATAATTCGTAGGTCGATGTTCTCGAGATATTTTGCTGTTTTCAACATTATTTGAAACATATTTATTGAATATTTAAAAATATCAATAATTTGCTCAGTACAATATATCAATGCGTCATATTGTTTATTTACATAATTAACTTTACACTTATTTAAAACAAGGTTTAAAATTACATTGAAAGTTTGCATTATATTACTATATTCACAATTTAATAGAGATGTTATATAGTAGAGTTTTTGAATAAAGTTATTTTCATCGATAATTTCACTTGTGACGCTTTTAGTGTTAATTGTGAAGTTCTCAAGTTTAATTTCTGTTTGTTGAATTGAGTCCCATCCATTTTGAACACGAATGTGGTTTAATGAGTTAATCACGTATTTTTTAAAATCTTCACTTTGAGTATCACAATATACAACTAAAACTTGATTTAAATACCAAAATAAGAAAAACTCATATAAAATATTTTTTTTAAACATGTTTTTTAATTTTATAAAACTAAATTTATTATATGGTATTATTTTTAAGAAAAAATAACCTTAAACTCTTTTTTAATGTTTCTTATATTTTATAGAGATAGAAAAAGATCGACATAATTTTTTTTATAACAATTTTAACTGCAATTTGTTATTTGTTTAATATATAAAGGTTGTGTATATAAGGTTGTGTTGGGTTTATAACAAAAATTTATTATTAGAAATTTTAATGACGTAGATGTATGTAGAAATTGAATTTTAGGTGAATAAACATTTTTTTTGTTACTTTTATTAAAGTATCTTATACATAGTGTTCGTTTTATCATTAATACTCAATTGCTCGCAGAATAAAATTTATTTTGAAATAATAAATAAATTCAAATTTTTCTATATGTCTGTTGTACAATAAGCAATTCTTATAACAAATTTATTTACAATGACATGAATGACAGTATTCAGGAAAGACATCAGCCAATAGACAGCTTATTTTATTGGATTAGATTTTTATTTATTTATTTTTACTATTATTAAGTTTCCAGAAGGTCTACATCTCAAGAAAGTATGATAGTCTATGTAAAACATTGAAAATTAAAGATAAAAAGACAAGTGCTTTTTTAAGAATATGTTTGCCAATATAGATAGTTATAAGGTCAAACAGGGACTTAATTGGTTGGAAATATTTTTATTATATACTGAATTTCACTAAGGCTTGACGGGTAATGCCATTAGTAGTAGAGAATCTAGAAATCTTGCGATAATTTGTTGTTGAGTGCTGCTAGGAGTTATGTAATGTGGTTTAAAATTATTTAAGAGGTGCGCCTCAAAAATATTTGCTCTTACAGCGTCAGTAATAGTCCACGTGTTGTTTGTTCTTTTATCTCAGAGAAAGGAACAGTTTTTTTTGTTAATTAATTTTTTTGTAGCTTTCCATAAGAACGAATCTTGGGTTGATAATTTTGATAAATACAAATTTTAATTTTTATATTTGTAGCTTTGGAGAGCTCTGCTTACTTTATTAGTAAGAAAATTAAGTTAAGTTTTATCAGTAGGGTATCTAAAGAGTTACCACTGATATCTAACCGAATATTTTTCTCGGAGTAGTTTTGTATAAGTGTGATGGTAATTTATATTTAGTAGGCAAGAAATCAAACGCTTTTATTGCATTAATAACAGTTTTTGAATAAGAGAAGTAAATGAATTGATCACCTTAACAACTCATCTACATATTTAAGGAAATTTTGTAGATTTATTTTTTTGCTTCTTGTAAGATTAAACTTAGATCAATTAACTATAACCGCAATGAGGGTAGGTCGTGTGGATTTTGGACCAGCACCCAGTTCGAGTAGAATATGATCAGATGAGATATAATTATNTCGAGTAGAATATGATCAGATGAGATATAATTATAATTATATATATTACCCACTGCACAATGTTACATACCATTAATGTTCTTAAAACGTTTCATGGGAAGGCCCGGGCGCAAGGGGGGTTTTAGGGGTTCAAACCCCTCCCATTGAAGAAAAAATATATATCATGTTTTTCATTTTTAATTGATTATATTAGATATTTGATTATCTTATTTGTTATAAAAATTGCAGAGTACTGTTAGTATAGCATATTATTTTTGGTTTATACGATTTAATTAATTATTTATTTCATTACTAACCGTTAAANCACCAGAAAACTACGAAGTATTTGCGGATAAAGTAAGGAAAATATCTAGACAACATATACCACGCGGCTGCAGAGAGAAGTACATACCAGGCCTGAATAAAGAGACTGGAAAGTTGATGGACATATATCAGGATTTATTTCAAAATGATCCATTTAGTAATGATACTATTGCGGCAGGAGAGAACCTTATTAAGATGCTTGGTGATGACAAAAATAAAAGGTGGCACGATGTCATCGAAAGTGCTGATATGACTAAAAACAGTAAAAAAGCCTGGCGCCTTATAAAAAAGCTCAGAGGAGACCCAACTATACATAGAACATGTGTAAATGTCACTGCTAATCAAATTGCCACAGAATTATTAAAAAATGGTAAACCAGGAAGGAAAATCAAGAGGGAAAAAATTATAAGAAACGAAAACAATGAAAGTGATACATTCCACCAAGACTTTCAAATGGATGAACTCACCATCAGTCTGAAAGAAATGAAAAATGGGAAAGCAGCCGGGTACGACGAAATTGTAGTAGAACAAATTAAAAATTTCGGATTAGGAGCAAGACGATGGCTACTCAAGTTATTAAATGTGTGTCTCCATAGAAAGTGTGTGCCCAAAAGCTGGAGAAAATCTAAAGTAATAGCCCTTCCCAAACCTGGGAAAGACCTGGGTGATCCAAAAAGCTATCGACCCATATCTTTGTTATGCCACACGTATAAAATATATGAGAGAATGGTCATGAACCGGATCAAAACTCAAATTGACACACAACTAATACCGGAACAAGCTGGCTTTAGACCTGGCAAGGCTTGTACAGGTCAAGTACTTAGTATGTGCCAACACATAGAAGATGGCTTCGAAAAGAAAAAGATAACTGGAGCAATTTTCGTAGACCTCACAGCAGCGTATGATACTGTTAACCATAATAAACTGTTACAAAAAGTTTACTATTACACCAGGGATTGGCAATTTGTTCAAATCGTGGCTTCTCTACTACAAAACCGTCGATTTACGGTAAAATTGAACAACAAGTGGAGTAGATGGAGAACCCAAAAAAATGGGCTACCACAAGGTAGCGTGTTAGCTCCAATGCTCTTTAATTTATACACAAACGACCAGCCAACTCCGAGAGATACGAAACACTTTTTATATGCAGATGATCTTGCAATCACAGCTCAAGATACTACTTTCGATAATGTAGAAAAAAAACTTACAAATTCACTAAAAGATATGACTAACTACTATAATAATAATCAATTAAAACCTAACCCTAACAAAACACAGGTATGTTGCTTCCATCTACGGAACCGTGACGCCAAGAAACGTCTCAATATAGAATGGTTAGGCAAAAAGCTGCAGAGCACTGATCACCCTGTATACTTAGGCGTTACCCTAGATAGGACTCTTACATTCAAGGAGCATTGTCTCAAAACTAAAATGAAAGTACAAGCAAGGAACAATCTACTAAGAAAACTCGCAGGGACCCAATGGGGAGCACGACCGCATACCATGCGTACAACCGGTCTGGCCCTATGCTTCTCGGCTGGAGAATATGCGTGTCCAGTGTGGAGCCAGTCAAAACACGCCAAACATGTATCGGTAGCATTGAACGATACGTGCAGAATTATAACGGGATGTCTCAGGCCAACGCCTACACACAAGTTATACCTCCTAGCAGGCATAGCTCCTCCCGAAATAAGAAGACGCGTAACCACTGACATAGAAAAAACCAAACAGATGAAGGACGATAGACATCCCATGTTCGGATATGGACTCACGAGTACGAGACTCAAATCTCGAAGGAGCTTCATGCACACAGCAAAAGAGCTAGGCGAATCCCCACAAAAAGCTCGGCTACAAAAGTGGAAAGATCAGTTACAGCCAGAAGAATTGACCCAGCCTACCCAACAACTTCCATTGGGCGGACATTTACCATGGCCACTATGGAAAACCTTAAATAGATTGAGAGCTGGAGTAGCAAGGACTAAAGCTAATATGGTAAAATGGGGTTTTTACGAAGTAAACGAAACTTGTGAATGTGGAGAATTACAGACCGATGATCATCTTCTGTCATGTGCCATGAGCCCAGCACAATGCACCAGGGAAGATTTGGTTCTGGCAACCAAAAATGCGCTAGAGACGGCTACTTACTGGTTGCAACACAATATATAAAAAGTTACCAAATATGTGATTCTATTTTAGATGTACCATTTTATGATTTATATATATATATATGTATTATTTATTTATTTATTATTATTATTATTTTTTTTTTTTTTTTTTTTTTTCTCCTACCATTATTATTGTTTTGTTTTTTATTTAAATTTAACTGTATTATTAATATAATTTTTATTGGCATTTTAACCCAATCAGACTCGACAAGAAGAATTACTAACCGTTAAAAAATGCATTTATAAGAGCTTATTTCAGGATTTTTAAGTGCATAAGTGCACGCATAATCAGTTTTTTTAGGGTACAGAAGCCTTGTGCTCTAGTAATAAAATAATAATGCATAACATAATAGCACACCACTATTATTGTGTTAGTCTCGTGTTTGGTGTTAATCGGTTTCCATTGAGACGTTATCGACAAAATATAATGACCGCGACGGCGACGTAAAGAATACGATAACGGAAGTCGCGTATTTTAAAAGATGTTTATAATCAAGTGTAAGACGTTAGTTATACAAACATGGCGTTTGCAATATCATTGAAATGGACATTCAAAGATTTTAAAAAAAACCACGACAAGAAAATGATGAGATAGTAAGCATATTAAAATTAATTATAATTATTACAATTACTCGATTAATCTATTTAGTTTTCAAATTTTATTTATAGGAAACTAGTTTCAATAACCTGACACAATCAACTGAACCAGCAGAAAAAGCATCTACAGATACAAATGTCTCAGTTTCAATTCCAAAGTTTGTTTNGAAAAAGCATCTACAGATACAAATGTAATTCCAAAGTTTGTGTACCCTCATGATATAGGGTTATATGTGAATAAACCTGCAACTGAAAGTATTGACTTGATACCGGGACTTCAAAATTTGATATGGACACCTCCAGAAGACTACAAATTTCCTGTTTCCGAAAAAAGAAATTTCAAAGAAGTTGGTTGCTCAAATATAAATGAATGGCTTATTCAGCAAATATGAATGGCGCATTTTGTAAGAANTTATTCAGCATTTATGAATGGCGCATTTTGTAAGTATTGTGTATTGTTTTCTATACGAAGTGGAGGAATTGGACATCAAACATTGGGGCAGCTTGTTAAAAAACCACTTACCAACTGGAAAAAAGCTTTAGAATTATTTAATTATCATAACTCACTCGAGTATCATAAAACTTCATTATTAAAATCAAATATGAGAACAGAAATTGATAATCAAAACATTTTATTGGTTGACTTACAA